TACTGAATCTTCTGCCTCTATAGCAGTGTCTGAACCATAGCTTGTCCTCAGTACTGTTTTAATACATGAATCACACATCCAGTTAACTTTGATGGATGGGTTACTATAGAATATATAGACTGGAAAAGCAAAGGGAAAACACTTATCTTTTATTTCTTTTTTAAATGACTACCTTTAATGTTTTTCTCATTAATTTATAATATTAATCATTTCATTTTTTAAAAATAAAGAATAGCTTTATTAAAACAAAAAAATACAAACTATAAAGCACTAAGAAACTTAAATATCGAAGTCATAGCAAGCAGGTGGCAGTTCAACATCCAAGGCTGACAGAATACTTGAAGGAGACTCCAAGAGACCAGACTCCATTGTCAGCAAGGGCATCTTCACAGGTGAGGGGGGGACCCATGACTAAGAGCTTTCCAAGTTCCCTCTCCTCATCGAGGATCATGAGAGGCACTCCATTCAAGGGGAGGTGTGCAATCTGGTGCTCTTCAGGTAGGTCAAAGCTCTCAAAATCTAGAGGATTGAAGGGAAAGAATTTTTCTATTTCTGGATAGGTGTCATCCACCACAGGAACAGAGCTTTTTGCTTTACCAGTCTTCTCAGTTACCTTCTTGGCAGAGAAGGTTGGCAACTTTGCTTTAAGGGGTCCATTAGTCTTTACTGAGTTTTCTGTAGCGCTGTTGACAGTTCCCAAAGCCTTTCTGGCAGGTTTAGGTAGGGCAGATGAAGCATCAAATATTTTACCAACATGTGATGTTAAAACCTGAGATCTCCCATCTAAGGCTTTGACGGAAGACCCAGATCCCAGATTCAGCCCATCCTTAGGGGCCACACGTGTGCCTCGTTCTCCATTCTCCTTATCAACAAAGATCAGAGTAGCCATTCTAGATTACTACTGGATCTCAACAGTCAAATTGAGCCCTACATATTTTTTTTTTTATTAAAGAATTTTATTGTGGATTTAGTGAAAGTTTACAGGGCATATCATCAGTTTTACATTCAACAAATCATGTACCTTGTTTCATTACATTGATTATAATCCCCTCCATTCACCTTCAGTTAACAGTATTTCTCTCTATCCACTTTAGCTTTTTAAAAAACAAACAAAAAAACAACTCAGGCGTATATGATCATTTACATCTCCAAAGGGCACATTCTGCAAGTCTGCCTCCTGGCCACCAACTCTTAGTCCTTCTCTTCTTAGTCCATGAATCTTGAGTCCTCAGCCAATCTCCCACTCCATGCCCCCATCTCTGCCTCGTTCTCTGGCACTGCTGCTTCTCTGGATAAGGTCCCGCAGTCTGCTCAAGCTTTCCTCTTTTGATGGTCCTAGGGTCCTCTGTTTCTGGACTGTATGATTAACCACTCCCCTTTTTTGTTACAAAATTTCTACCTTTACAATTGTCACAGTCGTGATTAGTCATGATAACACTTATTCATTATTAAATTTTACAAATCTTATCCCCATCTCTTTTCACCAGACCCATCTAGACAAGCTGACAGCTATTCAGTGGGAACGCTTTCTTTCCCCCCATACTCTTAAACTAAACTCCCTCTTGAAACCTTGTAAGCCAGTCACTTCATGCCTTTTATTGCCCCCTCATTTTAGGTAGCCAATGTCTAAGTTGCCCATAAGAGCAGAGATGTCAGCTTGAGGACTAAGGTGCACCTGACCCAAGCCATGGTATTTTCAATAACCTCATATGGATGTGAAAGCTGGACAGTGAATAA